AGTTGAGCACAGAAAGTGCGGGTAATGAAAACAAATTTTATAAATATCCCAGCAATTGTAGCTGTACTGAAGCATACGTTGTCATCACAATCTCATCTGTTCAGTGTGTATTTAAACTGGGGCAAACTCCTTGCTGACTTGCGCTTGGAGTTTTGAGATTTGCCGATGCTGTGAATCACCAGAGAATGCAACCAGTATTTTTATAAACCTCTTATTTTATTAGGTGGATAACACCCACAAATACACTTCTATCAACAGAAAAAAGCATGGCTAGGGCAGTGGAATCACATTGCATCAGAAAGTGTTTCAGTATCCTTTGCCCATTGAATTCCTGGCCCCTTTCTGCAGTAATGAGAATAAGTCATTCTAAGCATGATGCTTCCCCCCGCCCCCCACCCTGGTATAGCTTTGCAAATAAACAGATAATTCCTCTTTTTTTTTTTTGTTTTCCTTTTCTCTTAGAGTCCCTAAATGAGTATTGAATGGTCCTTATTCTCTTTCTATGAAGCTTCATACAACATTAGTACTTACTAATAGAAATAAATAGCACCTCTGTGTAGGATCAGTCCCTGGCACTTGTTTCCAAAATGCTTTCTGCTTAGTGATCTGTTTAACTTTGGGACTAGAGGCTAGTCATTTTTCTTTGGAATGGTCTCTTAATTGTGTGGCCTTTGGAGAGATGGGGTTGCTGACGTCCATACGTATGTATGTTTTATAGTCTTAATTGCCACCTTCGATCAAATTAGCTTGGATAACTAAATGATATTGAGTGGTTTATAAAATACATTCATTTGCAGAGCTGAAATGATGACAATTCATATGGTGAAGTGCCCTGGCTCGGATCTCTTACATTGTTTGCCTGCAAATGAACTGCTCTGTCAAGATGCTGATATGTGTGGTGATTTGGGAGGTGAAACAGACCTTGAGCATACCTGGATGCTGTCCCAGAGCATCCAGTGGCTTTGGGCGGCTGATTTATGGGAAGCAGGGAGCTGCACTGCATCCAGCTCGAATCACAGAATCACAGAATGGTAGGGGTTGGAAGGGATCTCTAGAGATCATGTAGTCCAACTCCCTTGTGAAAGAAGGATCATCTAGGATGGAAGATTGTTGCTCTAGAGCATAGACAGAACGCTGCACCTCTGTGAAACCGTGGTGAAACGCTTAATGGAGCCAAGTAGTTAGTTAGTTGGGCTTTGTAGGGA